TATATTAAATCTACTGCCTATTTTTATATGATAAATCTCAAAAGATTTAACGTTAAATTTGGTCATAGGGCTAAATCTTCATTAAATCTGACAGTGGAGGCATATTATTAGTCAGATTTCAGACACGTCAAGTCTTGCTTTCAAGTCTGCTCGTTCCAAGGCGAAGGGGGTGAGAAGAGAGGGGAAGAGTACACATACCTCCATACCGTCAATTCGTTTTAAGATTTCTTGTCTCTTTGGATCTTTTCGTTGCTTCCCATTTAAAGAACCAAGAACTTGAATTCAATAAAAGTTGACGCGTCTGGAAGCAAATAGAAAACACAAAAGAGAATGCGAAAAATCAAGACTTGACGTGTCTGAAAGGGGACTTACTCATTTGCTTCTATACAAAGTACAGCAGAATCCGTTTATAACGACTCGGCAAATAACGACCGACCGCTTATAGCGACATAAACACAACCTCAAGTTTGGTTTTTATACAAATTACTATGAAAGTTTATCTGTTTGACGACTCCGCTTTAAGCGACGTAATTTATGAATTGTCCAGTTAAAACGACGAGTGTTTTAAAAATTCACAGAAAATTAGAAGCTTCACACAACATGTTGTGACATGTTATGCGGTACCTGAACATCGAAGGCACATATGGCGCCAGGTCTGGATAATGGTTAGGCCACAGCGACATTTGTCTTTTTCATTCCAATATTTTCGACAGGCGTCAATTTTGGATTGTCCTGAAGTAAACTATTGCATTCTTGCTCGTCAAAAATACTTTTATTTAAGTAATGTGCACTCGGTAGTTGAAATGTTTTGGTAGCTGGTGAGTGATTACTGATGAGCAGAGAGCAGGGAAACGATTTTATGAAAATTGCCTTTTTTCTGTTAAGAAATAGAGCATATTCGTTTAAGAATGTCCACGATTTAGCTTTCCTGATTCCATATAAATACATTTGATGTTGCCTTTTTTTGCCTTTTCTACCTTTAAAAAGGTGATTATAGCGAGGAAAAAGCCCTTATTCCTGATAATATCAAAGTTTCAAAGGTTCCATATTTAAATTGGGCGCCACTTGTATCAACTCATGTCGAGCGCACGTTTAGTACATTCAAGGCTTTTCTTCGCGAGAATCGAATGAAAATCCTGCCAGAAAACTTCAAAATGCATTTTTTGGTTCAATGTTACTACAACTATAGAGATTAAAGTTTTGTGAGTTAAAAACTCGATAGGAGAAAATAGTCAAAGCACAAATTTTTCATATAATGAAACTAGTTCTAGTGATAATAACATTTCTAAAATAAATATAGTTTTTGATTACTATTCAGTTTTTGTATTTTTTTACAACGCTTTTTTAGTGCCTTCTTTTGCCTTTTTTACGATTTCTAGTGCCTATTTCGCAATTTTATTTTGCCTTTTCCAGCCTATTTTGAATTTTTTATACAGTTTTAGGTCCTACAAATCCGTTCCCTGCTGATGAGCAACTACGCGCGCAAAAATGTCCTATAGCAGAATTATAAAAAAAAAAAAAAAAAAAAAGTTCTGTTTATACGACGCATGAAAAATCCGGTAAAAATATGTTTGGCTATTTTTAGTAAAGCAACATATTACATATTACATAAAGCAACGTATTTCGAGTATATTAACTATTTTTAAACCGACTTAAAAAAGGAGGAGGTTATCAATTCATCGGAAAATTTTTTATTTTTTTATGTATGTTAGATACTGTTTGATACCGCAGAACTTTAGACCACGTTAACCGATTTCTATAATTCTTTTTTTTTTAAAGGAAAGGTGGTACCCCAGAGGTGGTGCCATACTAGTCCCTAGAAAAGAACATAATATTTATTTACATAAAAACCAAACATATTTTTTTTTTACTTTATTTAATAACAAAAACATAATCTATAATCCAGTACTAAAACTAAGTATTGACAAGCGAACAAAAACACCGGCAGTACTTGGGGCAAAGACAAAGAAACGTTGCTGGCAACATACAAGGCAATAGGCCGGCCGGTTTTAAACTACGCAGCACCAGTGTGGTCGCCGGGGACTACACCATTTCCAGTTGTAAATAAGAAAGCGTCAAATGAAATTGCGAAAGCGTCATTTGGAAATGAGAATAATCAATTGTAAATGCGATATCGTCATTTGAAATTGAGAATAGTCAATTGTAAATGAGAAAAGGTCAATTGTAAATAAGAAAACGTCATTTGTAATTGAGAGTAGTTAATTGTAAATGAGAAAGCTTCAAATGAAAATGCGAAATCGTCTTTTGGAATTGAGAATAGTCAGTTGTAAATGAGAAAGCGTCATTTGTAATTGAGAATAGCTTTCTCATTTACAATTGACGGTTTCTCATTTTCAATTGACGCTTTCTCATTTAAAAATGACTATTCTCATTTACAATTGACGCTTTCGCATTTACAACTGGAAATGGTGTAGTAGGACGCAGTGGATGAAGCTACAGACAGTACAAAACACAGCACTTAGGACAGCGACCGGATGCCTCCTGATGTCACCAGAACACCACCTCCACGATGAGGCGAAAATGCTCCCAATCAGGGAGCACAACACGATGCTCTGCAAGCAGTTTCTGGTTGGGAGCCACAGATGCGGCCACCCAAATAGACAGCTGCTTGCAGAGGAACCCTCGCCAAGGCAGGTCAGGAGGCATCTATATGAACTGACGGACGAAGTCCAGAGGTTCATTAAGCAGCCTCTGGACCCGTCAGCTTACAGACAGGCCCTGAACGGCATTCACAGGGACGCAGTCTCGAGTTATGTAGACTCTATGTAGACCTGTGAATGCCGTTCTAGGCACACAAACACCGGACATTGACGCGACGGAGCTCCATCTGCCTCGGGAGACCAGAACAACAATAGCCCAACTTCGCTCTGGCTACTGCAGCAGGCTAAACTCCTACCTGAGTAGGCTCACGACTCGAAACATCTCTTCGCATGCCCGGAAAACCCGACAACCCTAACGGCGTCGTCCCTGTGGACCGACCCCATAGAGGCTGCACGCTTCTTGGGCTGCCGTTAGTGAAACTCGACGACAACGACTGAGATATCAACCGATCTGGGCGGGGTTGTTGTAGCTGCTACAACAACAACAACAACCAATACTTAAAAATTTTATTAAAAATGCACATACAAATTGTAAAGGAAGGCCATATTAAAAGGGATTCATTTAAATTTAGTTTTAGATAATAGAATTTACCTTATTCGTCCCTGCCAAAGAGGTTTTTTGTTCAAATAAGTCTTCACTAAAACACAATTACCGAAGAAGCAAATAGAACGATTGAACGCCTCGAAAACTAAAAAAAATCGATCACAACATTAAGGGCCAAATTCACAGTGCGTAGTTAACTCATAATCGGAAGTTAACTACAGGTTTTCAGTACAAAAAATCTGAAGGTAACTGCCGATTCTGAGTTAACTACGCACTGTGAATTTGGCCCTAACTGTTTTCAGGTCGGCGTATGTCACAGGAAAAGCAGCGGGGGAAGTTTTAATGGCTACTTTTCAATAGATCGGTTATTTAATTTTAGGAAAAGTATGTTTAACTCTTGCCAAAGTTGGTAAATCTGACTCTTGACAGGATTTTTCATGTAAATACTCGTATGGGCGACGTCCGGTTAGTACGATGTTTTTTCACCGATCCCTTGCAATCGTTATAACCGGATTCTACTGTATGTTCGAAAAATTTTATAAATGGTGGAAAGTGCAGAACACCGTCAGCAAAAAAAATATTGTTGAAAATAAATGCGAATTCTTAGCCGTTTCAAATATGCAGTTTATTTTACTAAAATTTATGGGGCTATAAAACTGTATAGGATAAAATTTTATGAAAACTCTGATTGAAAAATTAAAATGTTGATAACGGTCATTCTAAGAGTGGACTGACTAAATATTAATGTTTTTCTTATTGACTTCTTAATACTTTTACTTACTATTAATAAATATCCCATACCTCAATTTGATAAACGAAAAAATTATTACATATTTGGTCTGTTTTTTTGGGTGCCTAATACTTATGGCCAAGGCTGTATGTACATATACGTATTATGCTAAACGGAAGATAGAGTTTTGTATAGTTTCTTTATAATTTATACGCACCTATGTATAAACATACGTACACACATACATACTATGTACATATAATTTGGCAGTTATTTGCTTCCGTCAAAGGACACGTATTTTTAAATAACTATTGCGTATCTTTTATATTTTTTAAAATATTCCCAAATTCATTGCCTTACTTTATAACTGCATTCACATACATACTACAAACACACGTACATATATATGTATGTACTGTTATGTATGTATGCACGTCTAAATATGTTTGTTTGCAAATGTCGTGTTATAATAAAGAGAATAGTATAGCGTTAAAAATGCATAGTAATTATGAAAAATAGGCGCTTAAGCTAGAGTCCCTCGTATTTCGTTTTCACTCATTAAATATAATATTTACTTCTTTTCTTTTAAAGCTCAGTTAGTCAACGACGTAGCGTAAACGTAGGTTGACGCACGTAGCAGCATATAAAATTTACTGTTGATAGAGAGAGAGAGAAGCAACGGCAACGTCACCGCCATGCGGTGGTGAGTTTTCGTTAACACGCGAATCCCATAAGCTAGATCGTGTCTGCGTCAACCTACGTCTACGCTACGTCGTTGACTGTTTGCGCTTTTACTGTTTTTGCTTTTAATTTTTATGTGAAGCCTTCATTGTTTTCTACTACAACACTTTACACTTAAAAATAGTTGTAATTTTTTAGTTAATTTTTTTAATACGCTGCATTTGTTATTTTGTGTTTTAAATTTTGAATTACATACGTTACTGTTTTGTAGATTTGATTCCTATTTTTTAGTAATTTGTGGTTTTAGTGATTGCGTCTGGTTTCAATTAAATTTTTTATATTTTCTCATTATTTAACTTTACACGGCTTTTACTAAGGTCCACATCTCATTCCTTTGATTCCTTTATATATTAACTTATTTTTGTTTTTTAAATTTGCATTTTCCATCATCATCAATCCATATACGGTTCATATTTACGTCATCAACATCATCGATCTGGCATCTTGTGGTGTTTGCATGCTGGAGTGTTGCATTGAATTTCACGCCTTGGCTCCGGGTATCTTCGACAACACTTTCGATAGATCGACGCCGGTGAGTGCATTTATTGACGGCGGTAATTGTGCTACTAGGCGTGTTACATCGTTTGTTAGATTATCATTGCCGCCAATGAGTACGATCTCATCGGTCTTGGCGAGTGGTGCAGCCACTTCGGCTGCGATCTAAAGGCAAAATGAAGGGAAATAAGAATTAGTTGAAAAAGAAATAAGTATTTACATACATATAAGCCATGTTAAAATATATGTAAAGAAATCCCTGCAAATTGAAGTAGTCTGAATGTCAGATATTGAAAATTTTTAGAACACACTTGAGGTCATAATTAAATATCATTTAAAAAAGTTAACTGCTTCCTGAGAAACTAAAAGGAGTTATATATACATTATAATGAGAATGCATTCATGATTTACTGAAAATCTTTCTTTATTCCAGCAAATAAATTGAGTTTTCCAGCTTGAACTGTCATGGAAAATATGCAAACAAGGAACCCTAAATAAATGTTCCAGAGTGTTCCATAAAAAATACTCTATATAATTATTTTCTTTCCATCAACTTGTAGTTCTAGACCAGTGCCCGCCAAACACTTTCCTGGGAAACGAACTATATTCGGCCTTTCACATGTACACAATCGCTTTCTTACACGTACACAATCCGAACGTCAACAGAAAGAGTAGAAGAGCAACAAATTTTATTTAGTTGCATCCAAACAATAGGCGAAGCAGGTTGATGACGCATTATGGTCTGATTATGCTTACTTCGCATAACTTCGCACAACTTCGCATAAACTTCAAACTGTAATTTCGTATGTACTTTGTATGTATTTTGTATGTATTCCATTGCCCAGAAATTAGCAGAATTTTAAAAAACTTAGCGATCTGTTGAGTTTAGATTTTGCTTCACATTTTCTTAAGTTACACTTTTAGTGCACTGGTACAAATGGTTGTGCGAAGTTATGCGAAGTATGCATAATCAGACCCTTATTGTTGAATAAAGTAGGTACACTGAGCAGAATGAATGAATATTCATTCAAAAATTTTATAACACAATTTTTCGTACATACACCCCTAGAAATAGGTATGTATATGGTACCAAGTCGTGCTTTTTCTTCATATTAAAAGAACTTTGTGAATTATGTTTTTTTTTTAATACCAGACTAGTCCTCAATTAAAACATACAATATGTTTTGTTATTTATCTTTTGGTTTAATCGTTATTTTAAATTGTTCTTAAATGTCAAGTTTTACCTAATTTTAAAATAATTGTATATTAGATATATATATTTTTATTTTATTTCTACTTGAAATCAACGAAATTTTCTTTTAATATTCAGAGTGCTCGAAGCACGTTGCCTTTTTTGCTCAGAAATCTACACTTAAATTATAAAAAAATAATAATAATTTTGTACAATACATACAAAATTTTACCAACTTTTTCCTTTCTTAGGGCCGTTAACTTTCATTATATGTTTCTATGTTGTTTAGATCTAAAAAATAGCGCACAATGAAAAAAAACGGCAAAAAAAACATACCATAGTTTTTATAATAAGTAATACAACACAGAAATTTTTTTCATGCATTACCACCAACACATTCTCATTTTTTGTTTCATAACTAATACATTCTCATTTTAAGACTTTTCTCTTTTTGGCGGGCACTGTTCTAGACCAGACCTGGGCGGCGCCTGCCCGGCGGGCATATTCGCGTATACATACACGCTCTGCTTTAGAAGGCAGCGAAAGCTTCATTCAACCGCACGACTTGTTCGCACACACACAGTGACATCAATTTCTCGCACACTACAAAAATGCTCTGTCGAAGCTGCCCACCTCTGTTCTAGATTAAAGGATGAAATTTTAATTCAGGTCAGGACATGAAAAATGGCCATCGCAATCCCATGAAATTCGATTAAAAATGCTATTTTGGGTTTGATCAATCCAACTGTTATTCAGAGAAATTAATAATTTTAATTACATATTTATAATTTTTTTTTTGATTCCAAATGATCACTCGATCACGAATGCCATGCTTTGAATATCGTTTTAAAATATTCAGAAATACCTTGATACCAAGTGAAAAACCAAGTGAAAAGTGCATTGTTAATATTTTCACTTGGGGAGGAAGAAATACTTAAGTACATAGATTAGGTAGTACGATTCTTTCTGTAGAAAAGGTGCTTTCTGCTCTTCACAAATATGACCAATATGGATGTATCACACAGAGCAAAATATTTTGAAGTGATGCTGAACAACAAACTCATTTGCAGGTTGATTGAGAAGCGAGCAGGATAACCTTGGTGGTCCCCTACGCAGCTGAAATAATGCTGGGCAACAGAAAGGAATTTTAAACGTGACATGACTATTGAATAACTTATACACGGCTATGATCCGACCGATGCTTGCATATGGAGCGCTGCTCTTGTGGTCTAAGGACTACCTATATAACTTGTTCAAAAACTAGTGACTGAACATTTTGTTCGTTTTGGTACCTATAGAAACTTTAGTCGAGAACAGAGCTGTTGCCAGCATGAGGAGAGGTCATTCGGATATACCGCCATTCTAAATTTACTCCCATCTGCTGTAAAACCGTTGCCCAACGCCTTTTTCGTACCAAGGAACAACATTTTTTAGTTAAATTAAAAGCAGAATTACTGAGAGTTATCTCTAGTAAGCTTCGCAGGGTTGGAGCTTCACATGTTGGACCAGTATTACCAGGCATATCCCACTTGAAACCATTGAATCAGCATTAAAAATTCCGTCAAATTCACGGATGTCTGCAGGGGCACTGACCAAAAAGATCGTCATACCTTTAAAGAGTTTCTAGCGCATTTGCCAGGGCGTGAATTCGCAGAATATAGTCATGCAATAATTGTAGAATTTCTATTTTCAAAACTAGCTAAGGGAACGGGGATGGAGCCCATGTCTACTGTTAAGCTAGCCGCCCATTTAAAATTTTTTGAATTTCATCATCAGCCGCTTATTTATGTAATACTTATTAGGTTTGTTCCATATGCTTTCCGGGCTNTTAGCGCATTTGCCAGGGCCCAAATTCGCAGAATATAGTCATGCAATAATTGTAGAATTTCTATTTTCAAAACTAGCTAAGGGAACGGGGAAGGAGCCCATGTCTACTGTTAAGCTAGCCGCCGATTTAAAATTTTTTGAATTTCATCATCAGACGCTTATTTATGTAATACTTATTAGGTTTGTTCCATATGCTTTCCGGGCTGTTTCGGTAATTAGAGCGTAAAAATAAGCTACTCTCTTACAAGTGTCAAAAATGTGTCAACACGTGCCAAAAGTGCCCAGAGCGTGAGGAACGCAAAAAACTACATTTCGTGCAAAAAGTCAACCAATCAGCTTTAAACAATAATTTTATGTGTATCTATCTTATGTGGCTAATAAAATTAGCAAATACCTACATTTCTGAAAGTTTCGTGCTATTTTCCATTTTTGTATTTTACAAAATTTGCTTTCGGATGCAAGCAAACAACAGCTGTTCTTTCAAATTGACTTCTTACACATTTCTGCCCTCAAAAAAGGGTTGTTTCGGGCACGAAGAAGAAGATATTTACGATCCAATAGTGGGAGGTATTCGCTCTCTATTGCCCATTTTTCTAGCGTGAGGAACGCTTTATGGGCTGATTTTGGCACCCGCGGGCTCGTGTGGAGCAAACATATAGCTACATTTACATTTTCCCGAAGCAGTGAAAGATTTATGAGGTATTTAGCAAAGCTAAAGTAGACCATTTTATGAGTTTTACATTAAAGCATTCACATACCTCAAACAAATACTACGTTTATACGCACAGAATAATCGACTTAATTGAAAGCGCATTGACACCGTACACATTTCGCTCTAGTGTTTATACTTACGGCTTTATATCGGCATCAAAGTAACCGTCTTCAAAAGCAAACAAAATAAGCTGTTTTCATTTGACATTTTATAAGTTAACATAATGGAAAGTGATAAAAATCTAGTTTTATTCGGCATTATAAAATCGTGGCAAAGAAAACGAACGGTTATTATTAATCAGCTTTTAAATACTGATGCGATTATTTGGAATTNATTAAAAATATTTGACATTTTCGAGACCAAATAATTTGAAAATAAATCAAATCAGCTGCTCTACTGATACTACCTGTTCAATGTACCTTGGTTTATACATATGTTTTGAATCGCGGCGAAATGAATTAAAGCGCCTTATGCATGCGTATAAACGTAGTAAAAGATTGACTCAAAATTCGGTCAGTAAGAATTTATGACAGCTTGAAAGCCCTTAAAACAAATACTAGTATAATACACATAGTTCCACTCACCTTAGGCAGTGACTCGAGTACAATGTTCATAATGGCTGCATCGCCATATTGTTTATAGACATGTGCCTTCATCCGCATGCGCTCAGCCTCCGCTTTGCCCACCAATTCGATGGCGTGAGCCTCAGCTGAACCAATTTTACGTATTTTTTCGGCCTCAGCGCGGGCAGCCTCAATCGTTTGGCATCTTTAGAAAAAAAAAACAAAAGTGAAATAATGATCGAATAGAAATTTTTACTCAACGCAAAAGTGTTTGCGCCCACTCACTGTTTGCCCTGTGCTATAGTTTGCACACGATGTGCCTCCGCTTCGGCTGGCAGTTTAACGGTACCCATCAGTTCGCGTTCCTTGCGTTGCACTTCCTGTGCTTCGATTTCGATTTGTTTACGTCGTTCGACTACTTCGATTTGTATCTCCTCGTTACGTATTCTCTGGCGTATCTTGGCTGCTTGCAGTTCATAGGCCAATTGCGATTCAGCCTTCGCTGTGTTGATCTCTTGATCAAAGTTAGCCTTCTGCAACTTATACATACGGGAATTGTCCTCGATTTTAGTATCCGTGGAGTATTTCACGTCCATGGCGCTTTTCTCGCATTCTGCTTCGCGTATGCCGGCGTCACGATTAGCTTCGGCCACGCCCGCATCAGCATCGCGCTTAACGCTCGCCGTTTGCGCCTTGCCCAACGAGGCCAAGTATTGCACCTCATCGTAGACATCTTTGATGGTGAATGAGAGTATTTCAATGCCCATGCGGCCGACATCAGGTGCGGCCACCTCGCGCACCAGCGCTGCGAATTGGTCGCGATCTTTGTAGACCTCTTCGACTGTAAGCGTTCCTGTAATAGGGGAAGAAGAGGGCAAATGATTATAAGTATGTAAGTAGATGATTTTTAATTTGAAAGTTTTAAATTAATTGTTATATATGAGTAGACGACAACTAACACAAGCCTCACCGAATATCAATGCATCGCCAAAAAGTTACTGTTTGTTCTGAAATTTAGCTTGGATATGTCGCTGGTCTGTACTTTTTGGAAAAAACCGTTGGAGTAGCCATCACTGCCAACGGAAAATGCTACAGAACTATGGCAACTGATTTATTCTGACCCAAAATTAAACGACATGGACACATGCTTGTCCGGAAGGCTAAAGAAATAACATAAGGGCATGAATCACGTATGACGACAATCGTCTGGACGATATCGTGTTGAGATTGTATTGCTTCATTTAAACCAAAAAATGTTTGATCGTTTGTGCGATATCGTCAAGTCGACTAACACAGGAAAACAAATACATGAATCAGTGTTTTGACGACATCGTTTAGTTAGTATCGTTTGAACGACTATCATTTCAAAGTTACGTGAGTCATGCCCAGATTGCGAACCAAGTTTTTGTGCCGCGATTAAGAAGCCACATATACAAACTCGGGATTTGTTGAAATTTTTGAGCACCTGCTTCCCGAATGCAGTATACAGAAAGCGGAAGAAATATCTCGCGTATTTTAGCCGGAATCAAAAGAAACTATACTCAGTATCACCAAACAACCTATTGAATTTCCTAAGGGAGTTAAGAATTAACGAGGTGTTGTAAGGAGCAAAGCGGCACAATAGACCTACAGGTCGCAGCGCATACATCAACAAATACAAATCTGTATGAAGCGAATCCTAGAACTATGTATATACGGTGACCATCCGTTCTGTTTTTTGCAGGACCGTACTGTTTTTCAAAGGTCGGTCCTGCGTAGTTTTCCAAACCTGAAAACCCTGAAATGTACTGCTTTTTTCCAAGTGTCCCTCATTTGTCCCGCATTTTATCCGTTACTTTAAAATTATCGGACAATGGATGGATTTTTTCAAAAAAGTGTTTCTTGGTACTTTTCGTAGCTTTTCTTCAATATCTCATGAAAAAATCTCCCAATCAACGTAAGCGACTTACATCTCGAAGGGTATTGATGTGCCTCTTACCAAAATATATAACTTGTGGCGACTTCAATGAAAATTATTAGTGCTACAGGCGACCATTTGCATTTTGTCGTCAAAGTCGAAAAAAGTGAGATTTTCAATCAAATACGCAGTTTTATTTGATTATTTTTTCCATTAGTTTAAAAATTCGATAAAGAAGATATATCATTACAGTAAATTTTGACCCAAAGATATTGAAAATCGGATTAGAAATGTAAATGCAATGAAGTGCAATCCGTACAAATTATATATCTTTGTAAAGGGCACATAAATACCTTTGTAACTCGTCGTTTACGTCGATTCATGACGTCGATTTTTGACAAATAACTGCGAAAAGTACAAAAAACAAAAAAAAGGGTATTGTTTTCGTTTTGAACGACTCAAAATTTGCCTATAAAATAATCTTTTAAAGATTTTCACTTTTCGTGTAAGCTATTGTAATTATAATATGTTTTACTATACTTTTATAAATATTCATGTAAAAAAAGATTAATATCAATGAAGAAAACGTGATTCATTTTTAAAGTTTAAAATGTATTAAGAATTTAGAATCATAAATACTCTTTTGATATTTTTATACTACGTAAATATATGAAAGCACATTTTTGAAAAATTGTCCTTCATTTTGAATCCATATTTATGGTCACCGTATGTATATATGGTGTTGTTTGCTTTTTTGGCTGAAGACCTGTGTAATATGAATTCTTCTAAGTAGCTAACTAGCATACAATTAGCGGTTTTACGCCATTTTGATGCACTTCTCTCGGGAAATATTTTGTCTAGGTAAATTCTATATTGTTTGGTCGAGCTATCTGGATATGCTGGTGAATTTACCTTCCCCGCTTATTGTACCTCTGCTAATTAGTACACTATTAGAGATGAGCACGGCACTAAATATTCAATCCCGATCCCGCCCATCCGAAATTCCAGTTTTAAGTCTCGAATTCGCCCATACCGCCGTTTTTCACAATAGTACCGCAGGTATCGTGGGTCCCGAAATCTATCACTAAGAAAAATAATGAAACATCTGGCATCTTCCAATTTTTTTTGCCTGCTGTTCGTTTTCGTATCAGTAAAACATAAAAAGTGCTTATTTCATACGGGTTTTATCGGTAGTGTCGGAAAGTCCCGCCCACCCTCAAAATTTTTACAGACCTTCCCGATATCGTTCAGACCGGCCATTTTAAAATCAGTGCCGTGGGTCTCAAATGCTTCGCTATCTTCTTGCTGATTGTTGCAGCAATTTCTATTATAAGAAAATCCTATTCTTTCCTCAAGTTTTCCTAGGGGCATGTGCCTCGGGATGGTCGTAAAAATTGTGAATACTTTTGTACTTGACCTGTTAAGCAAATCAAAGGCCTCCCTCTTGTTATAGTCAGGCCCGAATTCTCTTCATATTTCGCAAGTTTGTATATCTGGCCATACTGATTGCAAAACTGACACATTTTTAAATCAGACAAATCTAAAAGTAATACATTTTTTAAATTGTATTTAAAAAAACCATGTCATTGAGGAACGCATACATCACAAATAACAATGTACATACCAGGTACTTTTGAAAGTAATGATTAATAAAAAAAAAAGTAAACAAACAAAAAAATATACAAAAACAAATTCTATTAACATGTTTATTCTACTTCACAGAAATGGCGTTTTTTGACATTTTTTCGCAATTAACTCGAAATTTCGAGGGTGAACGAGTTAAACGGACCTCAGATTCAAATTCACCGGGTCGAAATATGTACATGTAGTTAGGTGGGTCTGGTTAGAACCACACACCTTTTTTTCTTGCCGGTGTTGTTATTATTGCACTAAAATGTTACGTACACAGCAAAGTATAAATTATAACTTTTTCAATTTGTGTACATTGATTTAAAAAATTATGTAACTTTTTCTTAAAAATTATGTAACTTTTCAAAAAAAAGTTCAGGCTGCAATTTAGAAGTATAGTTTCAAGCTGTTTGTTAATTGCAGTCAAGACGGTATTTTACAAAAATCATACTTCAAAATTCATAAACAAGTTCTTACAATCAATTCGATACTTAAAATTTTTCGGAATCCCGGGATGAATGCAAGCAGATTCCGGGCATTTTCGGGACCTCCAAAATACCGGGATCACATACATACATTTGTGTGTTATCAATGGGATTAAAATTTTTTTTCACAACCCCCCCAAAAAAATTTTTGATGCATCTCTGAATAAAGGTGATTTTCTTGAAATTAAGATGATGTCTAATTGACATCTAGTTTTGATTGGATGCCATAGAGTAAAACTAATTGAACTAATTGTTTGAATTCATACATATGCACTATGAACATAAATAAAATGACCAATTGAAGTAAAAGAGTGTGTCCCATTCATTAACGAAGAATACTTTTTAAATTAAAAAGCGTAAAATTCAAAACGTACGGGAAAATTCCACTGTTTCTATTATTCATTTTACTGTTGTTATTCTAATAGTAGTATGCATTTTATTTGCTCTCAATTTCAGTCGTACCGAGTGCGTGTGATAAACCNTACATAAATAAAATGACCAATTGAAGTAAAAGAGTGTGTGTTATTCATTAACGAAGAATACTTTTTAAATTAAAAAGCGTAAAATTCAAAACGTACGGGAAAATTCCACTGTTTCTATTATTCATTTTGCTGTTGTTATTCTAATAGTAGCAGGCATTTTATTTGCTCTCAATTTCAGTCGTACCGAGTGCGTGTGATAAACCGGAATTATGTATTTGTAAATTTTTTGGTCTCGTAAGATCGCATCACATTAAATTTGAAACTATGTAACAAAAGCAAGTATTTCCGTTAACGAAAGATAGTTATCAAGAATCTTTCACGGCTTCGGTAATGACAATATTACCACAAAGAAGAGTTGATTGCTATGCTTATAGATATATATCTGTGCGTGAATTAGTAATGGACACCTTTAGTCACTACAAAATCTTTTACTAATGCATTTAGTTGATGAGTGAAAATGTTCACACCACTTCATACTCACAGTTCTGACCAGTTTCTTGTTTATGATCACTGATCTTCTTACATTTTTCTTATATTATTTTTACGTTCACGCTTATTCAACCACATAAAGGGAAAATCGATCTAATTTAAATAAACAAACGATTAAGACTTTATTTAAGTTCGTTGTTGTCACTTTCTACGTTCAAAAATGCACATAACCGGTGTAGATCAATTTATGTACATCATCAAANTTAGTTGATGAGTGAAAATGTTCACACCACTTCATACTCACAGTTCTGACCAGTTTCTTGTTTATGATCACTGATCTTCTTACATTTTTCTTATATTATTTTTACGTTCACGCTTATTCAACCACATNAAAAGCAAGTATTTCCGTTAACGAAAGATAGTTATCAAGAATCTTTCACGGCTTCAGTAATGACAATATTACCACAAAGAAGAGTTGATTGCTATGCTTATAGATATACATATCTGTGCGTGAATGCATATAGCCAATTAGTAATGGACACCTTTAGTCACTACAAAATCTTTTACTAATGCATTTAGTTGATGAGTGAAAATGTTCACACCACTTCATACTCACAGTTCTGACCAGTTGCTTGTTTATGATCACTGATCTTCTTACATTTTTCTTATATTATTTTTACGTTCACGCTTATTCAACCACATAAAGGGAACATTGATCTAATTTAAATAAACAAACGATTAAGACTTTATTTAAGTTCGTTGTTGTCACTTTCTAGGTTCAAAAATGCACATAACCGGTGTAGATCAATTTATGTACATCATCAAATGTTTTGACAATTCTTCCGTGAGCGTAGGAAAATACTTTGCCGACATAGCGGGCGAAGGTGTTAATTTTAACGGCTTTTAGCAATGATTCTAGAATGATTTGCTT